TGATGGATTGATTAAATAAATGTAATATGTATCTCTAAGAAAAATATATTATAAATAAAGGCTGAAATGGCCCTTGAGAGAATTAAGTCTCGTTTGCTTCACAAAATAATAAAGTCCTAATTTTATTGAATAAATCACTCATACCATTACAAAATAATTACTGCTACGCTAATATACTCTTTAAATCCTGTTATAATTCCTTGTTCGTTTAACCTATTGCTCACGTGACTCACCGAGCCTTGATATCCCTCAGCCTAATCTAACACACCTCTTTCGTAAAGGTTGGTTACGCGAGCTTTTGGATTGTTGAGCGACCGAGTTGCAGTCCTTTTTCCAGCTTCACACTATACTATACTGATTTGTGTAATATTGTATTGTGCTGCACTATGTTTTTCAATAATGGGATATCTCACACCCCAATCTCAGATATTAATTGATAATCTGAGGACCTCACCATCTGAAGTGCATCAGCTAACACACGAGGTTAGTCCGAAACATAAAATATATATACTGTACATTATTAAAAACTTTGCGGTATGATATATTTACCAGTAACTTCAAAAAATGTTATAAGTATAATTTAGCCTACACCGAGCAGATTATTTGTTTAACATAACATAGGAGGAGGGGATAAAAAAAAATTTATATAAAAAAAAGTCTGACTAATAAAATTTCAAAATTTATGTATAATATTTTGAGGGAAGAATTATGTTAAACGAATAATCTGCTTGGTCTGGCGTTATGTACATACATTTTACAGTTAAGTACACATTAAGAAGAAACATCATCTCTTAGACTAATTCTGACCTTCAGATCATAAACTTGGTTCCCTCCACGATAATGATATTTTATTTTCTCATTACTATTAATCAATTCTATTTTATATTTACTATAAAATAAAACAGTCATAGCCTTCATCTCATTTATTGCCATATATCTTCCAGGGCAAATTCTGAGGCCACCACCGAATGGATTATAAGAATGCATTCGTAATTCCGAGATTTCAGGGGTACAATTAAGATTTTTATTTAAAAATCTATCAGGATTTAAAATTTCAGGATTATCCCAATAATCAGGATTATTTGTAAGAGTTTGATGATCCAACCAAAACCTTGTTCCATTTGACCAATTATATCCAGCAATATTTTCTTCACCATTTAAAATTTTCATAGTGAATGGTGTTATTACAATGTGACGCATTGTTTCTTTAATTAATGCATCAATGTAACGACATTTTTCAAGTTTTTCAAGAGTGACTTCAATATTTTGACCAGGTCCGAAAACTTTTTTAATTTCTTTATGAATGTTGACAAGAAATTCGGGATTTTTCGCAATATTATATATTAGAAAACTTAAAGAATTACCAGTCTATTAAATATTAATTTAAATATACAGTTAAATATACAATAACAGATAAATATAAATATGATAAGTTATAATAAACAAGATAATAATGGCAGAAAATTTACCGAATCAACACCCGCTAAGAGAATGTCCCATAAACAAGCTTTAATTTCATTATTAGTCATTGGAGCTACTTTATCAGTTTCGTTATTTGAAAAATCTACTGAGGTATGAGCCATCAATAAATGATCTAACAAATCCGAATCTAATTCAGCGCCTTCTTCAAGTTCTTTTCTTCTTTTATCAATAAATTTGAAAATAGTTTCATTCATATAGTTAATATTACGTTCACATTTCTTTCTAAATGATATAAAACCTGGTACATAATCAGTCATAAATGAAGGGATGAATAAAAAATATGGAATTGAGGAAAAAAAGCTTTTGGCAGCGTCTGTAAACTTTAATGATTTTATGACTTCTTCAGATTTAGCTATTTCATTATTTATGTCAAATGAAGCTAAACTATAAGAAGGTTGTTTTGTTACTTGACTAATTGTAATGTCAGTTGTAAAGCATTTCATCCATTCACTAAAATCCAATTCTATTCCATCATTTATAATAGATTTCCATCTATATTCAGATTTTCTGAATAGTTTTTCAATACTTATGACGAAACCTCGTAGGAATTTCGGAGATGCTAATGCAGGAGATACGAAATTTCTATTTCTGTGCCATGACTTATAATCATTATTAAATACTATTCCATCCAAAAGTCCAAATTTTCCAAAAGCTGGAATATGAAATCTTTCAAAAAATTTCATATTTGCTTTGTGAATTCTTTCTAGATGTTTTGCATGATTTATTATTATTAATCGCTGGTTTCCAACATAGAATTCCCAGATAGTACCCGCTTTTTCACCATTTTTAATGTACCATGTGTAAGGATTTGTTCCAATAATATGAATTGTTCCTAGTATAGGAATCGGTATAGGACCTGGTAGTGGATTCGGACGTGTAAAATAATTATAATAAAATTGTGAAATATAGATTACTATTAGCGCCAAAATAATATGGCCCCAATTGACAAATTCAAAAAGAGAATTTAAGGCTGATAGATGCAACATTTTTTGTTTAATACAAAAAAAAAAAAAAAAAAAAAGGTGAAAACAAATTTTATCTAGCGAGAATATATTTATACGTACATTCATTATGTATACTCTGAAAAATATCTAATTTTGATCTATATTATTCAATGCTATCGCTAATTTTAAAGATCTTTTCGTGTAACTTGCTATATTTGAAGATAATTATTGGTTCGAGATTTAAAGTGCCAAAAGATAGGTTATTTTCTTTTCGATATTCCCAGTAAAGTTTAGCCATCTAGCCTCATTTGTCACAGTAGGTAGACTATGTTAGTAAATGAGTTAAGTAGTACAGAAATTATGATTCATTAAATAAAATCTTAAAAAAAAAAATTGTCATATTCTTGTTTTATTGTAACCATTACACAAAAATATATTAATATGTGAGGGCAGAAATCCTTTTCCAAACTAATTTTGGATCAGTATTATAAATCGATATCGAAGCTTTTAATGCATCAAAAACATAACTTTAGTGTTATTTTACCTGTATACCAATGCGTTTTCCAATATGCTTCGAATCTTCGAACAATTACTAGATAAAAAACTAATGAAATTTAGGTTTCCTGATCTCTTAATCGTTTACAAATTGACTTCATTAGTATTTATAAAAGAATTTTGTAAAACAGATTATCTTTATTGTTATTAAATATTTTGGTGAGATTTTCGGATTTCCACTAACAAAAATCATAATGTAACCAGTTAAAACTAAAACTAGGTTTGAGCTTTTAACACATATGTATATGAGTGACGCCAAGTGAAAACAGATTAAATTTTATAATATTGAAATTCTGGTTTTTCTTTAAGTCATTCATATCTAATACTAATTATTCTGATTATCCTCCATCTGCCTGAATTAAAATAGATTGATGGATTGATTGAATAATGAGATAATGATTTGTGCTCTTTAATTAACCCTAAATTGCCGACGTTTTCCTATATCTCCACTAACGTCACAGTCAAAATGTAACTGATTCATTTTATCTGCCAGTAAAAAAAAACTCTAATTTATCGCTATCATTATAAACTCATTTAAATTAAACTAATGTACAGTATATCTAAAATTATTTCTGTTCATGTTTTCAACTCTTCGATCTTTGAACCCAAATTTATATTTTTTTTTAACCTTTGAATTTAAATAGTCAATAGGTGCTTCATGTCATTTATATATATATATATTCTTTTAAATATTCTTTACTGTTATATATTATATTTAATAAAGAAATTAGATTAGGATTCAAAATAAATAATTGGTTGGTCGGAGTTTCCTAAATTAAGAATCATTAAGTAACCTTACATGCTCATAATTAAATCTTAGAGACAATAATTACGGTCATAATTGTGTAAAAATTTTTACGGTCGTATATTATTTGTTGACAGTAGCAGAATAGGCTATATTAAAATTTAAAGTTAGTAAAATTTCACGAGAAAATCAGATTCATTTGTGCAAATCGTGCACCCGGTACAAATTTTAATTTTTTTTTTTTTTTTTTTTTTTTTTTTTTTTGAATATTTTCTAGATAATTAATTATTAAAATTTATTTCGATAAAAATAAATATAATCATAATCTGATTGCAATAATTTTACTTCGTTGCACTAAAATTTCCGTGCTCTCTATTCGAATAATCTAACTTTCGCGATATAATTATTGGAACTAAATAGTTTGTTGCTCCCCGAACAACGATAACACCTAATAGGGCTTATCTTAATAAAAAAAAAAAATTAAATCTATCATTATTCGATATTTAAATTGAAAAAATGACAATTCAAAAGATTATTATTGAATCCATTAGTATCGTAAATTGTCTATACTTTTTAATCTTAATTCTGTCTACATATGTCTTTAATTTTTATTTTAAATACTTGACTCGCCCTAATCCACTTCCTGGCCCGTTGCCTTTACCAATCATTGGAAACCTTCATAACTTTATCTATGGCGCAAAACAGTTCTATGGACCAGGGATGGTAAATGACCTGAAATGACCCAAATGACCCAAATGACCATTGGTCATTTCAAATTCAATGACCTATAGAAGGTCATTTAACATTTGTTAACTGATAATCTAATGAATTTTAGCCAATCAATAAAGATCGACAGACACTCATACCGTTTCCGGTAGCCGGGTGTCATAAAAAAGAAAAAATATCTCAAGAGCCGTTCAGTTTCAAGTCATACTCTAATCCAAGTAGGGCGAAAGCCCTCATACCGAGGAAAAGAAGGAGAGAGGAGATTGTTTCAAGAGAAAAAGCAGTTAAAGCTAGGAAAGTCTGGCCAGAAAGACACGTAGTTGACAATATGAAAAACAACGGGAAGGAAAGTACAAAGTTTACAGCTAATCCTTCAGTTCCCCAGAAACCCGAGAACGAACCTTCAACAAGTGAAAACCTGAATTCAAGAGACTGGTCTAAAATGGTTGAAGAAGACCTAGGCAGGGAGGAATCAGATAAGAGAGAAAAGGGTAACCAGCTAATAGATGAATTAACAAATTCGAATAATGTGTCGGGAATTTCCTTAGAAACTTCCGACTCGAATGCACGTGATAGATCTTCCTTAGATCCGATTTTGCCAGAGCAAAATCGTGAATTAAATTTAAATAATTTTTCCGAAAAAGAGAGCAGTAATTCAGAGAACGAACCTACTGCAGCCCATACTTCAAGAAAGTGGGCCAACTTGTTCACACAGTTAAGAAGGGATAAAGCGACTTTCTCCAGTTTCTCACCAAGAGGCAGTACAAAAAATGACAATGCAGTGATTTTTAACATACAGTGTTATAATAGTAAAATTCACATTTTTGCTAATAACTTTTGAACCACCAAACCAATTTGGATGTAACACATATCATTAGAATCAGCTCATCAAAACGAATCTAACGAGCTAAAGATCATCCAAATCCGATCACTAGATACCGAGATATGAAAGTTCTGAATCATGTAACCTACAAAAGGCACATGATCGTGTAACAATCTATTCTGCGCCCAAAATCGAAGATTTATTCCATATACCATATCTACTATTTCTATCATATATTTTCTATATATTATATCCATCATATCTCATGTTTCTATTATATCTATTATATATTTTATTTATACTATTTCTATTATTTCTATTATATATATTATATATTATTAGTATTTATAAAAGAATTTTGTAAAACAGATTATCTTTATTGTTATTAAATATTTTG